TAACTTACTCTACGCTCTCTGCCAGTTAAGGCCCGTTTCCTTTCTACATTTGCTTTAGTGTCTTCTCGCTGCATACTCAATATTTCCGCATATTTGCGTATCAACGCCTCTGTAAATGCGATTTCATTTTCCCGTTTATCTCTATCTTTTGCCGCTTCTTTAAGTAATTTCTCTTGTGTTTCTCGGTCTACAGAAGTGATTCCTTGTTCTACCATTGCACTAGCAGCTTTTATATGTTTTTTACTCTTTAAATGTGCATCGAATACGGTTTGTTTCGTATAGCCCTTACGGCCTATATAATACAGTTAAAGACGGTTTAATAAATTTGATATTAAAATTTATCAAAGTTCGAAGCCTATGAAATTTAGTGTATACAAGCTGCACAAAACAAGTCATTGTCTTCGTCTGAACCGATCTGTCTTTCCCAGCCTGGGAATTTTCCACTTTCCCATTGTTGATGAAAACTTTTTTGAGTCGTTTCTTTAATATCTTCTAAGTTAGAAAGTGGTTTCACCCTTTTGAAAAAGCTTTCTAAATAACTACGCAATTTTTCCAAATATCTAACATGAAAAAATTTTAATCAATTTACTACATTTAAGTTGTAAATTTTGTACAAGATTATAAAAAAAAACGAACTTAATATATTCTCCGTGTTTATTTTCCCTGGGATAATCAGCAAAATTATCAAATTCACTCAAATAAGTTAAATAATCTATCTTTTTCACGTTTTTAAATTTACATATTGTTCATGGAGGGCGTGTAAGTCTAAAAATCGACCAGATCCTTCTTCTCCCGAAAAAAGTTTATCAAGATCTACGATAAAAAACAGTTTGATTATTAAATCTAAATTGTCGCAAAATCGAAAGATTTCACATACAAAGAAAATTTACCATCTTCTTCTCCGTTTGATTTTGTTTGATTGATAAATTCTAGTTCTAAAGGTTCAACTGTTTCATTAGGATATCGACGATGGTAATCTTTTATTGCTTTTAGACGACCATAGAATTCGCTAAATTCTGAAGTTCCAGATAAGGCATCTATTTCAGTTTTACGTGCTCTAATCAGAAAAAAGTGGTGAATAAATTATATTTGAAATGTTGGAGACGATTAGGAAAAGTTTGCTTTCTGGTACCCGTCTGAATCAATATAAAGTTCATATAAAAATTTGCTTCTCGAACTGATCCTATCAAGAAAATCGCTAACTCTATGCTCACGGGC